ACTGGCTCCAGCAACTCCAACCTTCGAGCAAGAGAAGCCGTTGGGTAACAACGAGAGTGATAATTCCACAGAAAGGGATAGTTCAAAGGAACCTGTAGGTGACTTGGCTGCAGATGAGTTTCAAGCAAGCCAGGGTAGGGCAGAGAAGACTCAGAAACTGAGAACATTTCCTGTTCCGTTGTCTGAAACAGATAGTTCTGATGTTTCAGTAGATTCAGTTCAAGTTCCCAAAAATGCCTCTACGGAGCAGAGAGAAGAAGGTTCATTAGTCATGCCCGATTCAGCTGTTTCTGTTTCTGAGGCTTTGGGTGGGGTATCCAAAGGCGGTGAGGTAAAGAAACAAGTTGAAACAAGATGTCAAAGTTCAGAGAGACGTAAGTATTTTGACCTTGTGATTATCTCATAAAGCAATTAATTCAGAATATGTGTACTATATTTATATGCGGTCCTTTTTGTTTGAGTTTGTTTGCCACCTTCATCTGTTATTGCCTTTCAGCAGCTGAAGGGGGCTCAGATGCGCCAGCGACCAATTTGAAGGAAACGTCTTCATTGGAGAGTGTTGAAACTTTGAAAAACAGAAAAACAGTAAGTATTACATATCACTAGATCTCTTTTTAGACTGTATCAATTTGTGTTCTTGACCTATGCCAAAAATCATGTGTGTCATTTTCTTGCCTGAGACAGATGTTTATGATGCCATCTTCATTCAAAATGTTATATATGTGAATCATCTATACAGTTACTAACTTGGACTAATTTTTCCTCAGGAATCCACTGAAACCAAACGTAAGAGTGTAAAGCGTACCTTTAAATCAGAAAAGGAGTTCATAGAGTTCACTTTGAAGTATCAACAAGCTCTTGCCGAAAGAGATTCGGGTATGTTGAGATAGCTGTGCTAATGTTTACGACTGAACTTTTGAACATATGCTGATGTGTAGTGTGTACAATATGGGGTTATTGCAGAAGGAATCATATCTTTGTTTCTAGTAACAGTGAGTTTTGTAGGGGTTTAAGTATAATGCTTTTATGTGGTCGTGTAATAGTTGACTAGAAATGGATTTCTTACACATTATGTACGATCTCGAGTCACAGATTTTCATGAAATAGAAGAATGATATGAATCAAAATTCCCAATTATCAGTAGGTAGATAGTAAAAGTTATTTATTATGTTGATAACCTTACCAAAACAAATTTAACAGTATTTTTCGGATGGAAAGACAGCTTTTGTGAAGTCTTAGTGGAGTGACATATTTATAATATCAATCATATTATGAGCAACATCGTAGAGAATCTTAATATCTAATTTTTTGCGTCCTCCTTTTCTTTCTAGCCATTTCTGTTCGAGATAAGCTTGAGTCCTTGTGCAGGGAGTTGCAACGCCAGAACAAAGTACTAATGGTATGCTATCCCTTGACTGACTGCAATATCCTTCAAATGCTTGTTTGCAAACTTCATATTTGTCTGAGATGTTGCGTATCATAAATTTTTTTAAAGTTTAATTTGTAAAGGTTCTGATTGACCATGAAAACTTAATTCCTACTTTCTATTATAAGCCATAGGATGAATCAAAGTAGAGGTATAGCTCCCATACAGTACCCAGTTATTCATACCATGACTAAGCCCACTTAACTACATTGTAGGCCTGACAAGTTTCCCGCGATGACTTCTTTTCTCGTTGATTTTTTTATTTTTAGTAAATTAGGCAAATGTGCAAAGAGGCAGCTTAAAGTTTATCCTTTTTTTTTCCCTTCGTTGTCCCATTGCTTTGAGGTTGAGTTATAGTTTATTATGGGAAGGGTGCACTGGATGACTCTGCACTCTTGCGTATTGTTAGTGACTGAAAAGTATCTGGTGTAGAAAAGAAGGCTAAACTTTTGTGGAGTTAAGTGTAATTTTTCAGTCCATCGGATTTAGATCCCCTATTATAGTCACCTTTGCTGTCTACCACATCGTTTCAACATTTTGAAATGTCAAGTTCAGACTACTGGCTTGTGATCTATTACTCTTGACATTAATTTGTGTCAATACCATTTTAATTTTATTGACTACATCTTACAATTTGTTATGGTAAGTTGTGAAGTTGATCAATATGTCGTCACCGACCTAGAAACACTGATGGTTTCCTCATAATTTTAACAGGATGAGTGCAAACGGGTGTCAACAGAGGGGCAGAACTTGAGATTAGATTTATCAGTCAAGTTCCAAGATGCAATAAAGGTTTGATTCCATCTTCTTATCTTCTATAGGCTACCTTTTCTTTAGGGAATTGAATTGTTATTACCGTTGACTTATTAATCCAAACATTTCCTGTATTATGCACTACAAAACATTTCATGTACTGACAGTTCTATACACTACAAACCAGGAGATATTTTAAAGGTACAAACCCTCAAAATTCATATATTAAGCAACTTACCATTCTGAGTGTGTTGAAAAGTAAAACCAGACAATATTTCTTGTTTTAGTACTTTGTTGTATCATGATTATCTAGTAGAGGCCCAAGAGAGAACATGTAAGCAATAAGGCTTCAGTTAAGTAACAAGCTTTTGTATTTGTCCCGAACATCAGAATTCAGAACTAGTTCCTTTCTATTTTAAAGGAAAAAAATATTGGTTCAGTTGCATGTTTTCTGACATTAGATTCTTATGGTTATAGGATGTGAGCAATAAGCTGGATGAGCAAAAGGAAGAATGTATCTCTCAGCTAAAGGAGAATGAAATGTAAGACCTTGATGTTGTGAAAAATAAGCTTGCTATATCTTGCAGAAAATATCGAAGCATTATGATTTACTTACCTTGGAGATCCTGTGCATGTGTGTGTCTCAATGAGACCAAACTTGATCGATGTCATCCTAAGTGTCATATATTAAAATTTAAATCTTTTCCTGATATAGGGTAATGTCATGTATTATTCATTACAAAAGTTTGACGGCTTGGTATCTCTCTTTTCGTTCACTTGGTTGATTCATACCATAGTTTTATTTCCTTTTTGGCTGTCCTTGTGCTTGCGCTAATCATATAGGGCTCTATAATTTATCTTTATTGTGTTAAAATTAGTTAACATTCATTCATTTTCAGGTTAAGAACTAAGCTACAGCAGCTCAACTATCAGCACGCTCTTTCTGAACAGCAATATGAACAGAAGGTAAAATTTAGCTGTAACTTGTGCAAATGACGTTAGTTTACTTATAATGGTTGTTTAATTTGTTAGGTAGGGACTTAACTTTTCTGTAGTGGTTTTGTTTTGGATGAACAGTTAAAGCAGAAATCGCTGGAGCTTCAAATTGCTGATTTGAAGACTAAGCAGCATGAAGAGAAATCACTCCAGGAACAGTCCCAGATGAAATTATATGCAGAACAGGTGTCACAGTTACTAGCAACTGAAAAGAATTTGCGCTTACAGTTGACGGCTGATGGAGAGAAGTTCCAACAATTTCAGGTCAGCATTCTTCTGCGTTATGCGGTGTTTTAACCATTATTTGGAACTTCGTCACCACAACTGGATGAGTAATTGCTCAGTTAGAGCCTTAGGCTGTGAAAATTTCTCTGCAGAATTTTCACAGTTCAAAACTATGTTGGTTCATTTGCCCTGTAGATTCTAGGCTGTATGGTGTCAGTTACGGGGCATGGTAGTAGATTGAGTCTCACATGTATACACTTTAGATGTATGGTTGTTGCACACTTTCTATGTTATGCTAAATCATTAAGGTTTGAATCAATGAACTTTGGTGGCTAGGGACTGAAACCTAATTCCTCCTAGTATCTTTAAGTTACTTGGAATTATAAGTCCTAGTTGTTAACAGGTGAGATTTAGGCAAATAACGTGGCAACGTTCAAGTTGCTTGTCAGAATTGATCTCACCACCCATCTCCTTGCTCTGTTTACATCATTAAATGTGCCTTGACTTTGGGTTTTCCTTCCAATATATGTGTTCATTAGACACTTTTCAAGAAAGGCAACCCGCTCTTGTGTGCTCAAATTAGATCTTACGAGTGCTTCATGCTGAATGATTGTGTTATCAGCATACAAATCTACCTGGTCTTATTTGATCTATATTTATCGTGCAGGATGCATTGTTGAAAAGCAATGAAGTTTTCGAGACATTTAAACAGGAGATTGAAAAGGTGACATATTCCTTCAAATTACATTTCATTTAGACACACTTTCACTGCTTTCTCCAGTGCAGCGTAACTCGCTTTATATTTTCACCTTAAACTAAGCTACCTTTCTGTTTGTTACATGTACAAAACCATAGATGGCAAAGTCCATCAAGGAACTCAAGAAGGAAAACTTATTCTTGAAGAGCAAATGTGAGAAAACAGATGTCACTCTTATAGAACTCGTAGACGAGGTATAGTTTGCTTGCACCTTGTTTTACTTTCTTTTGCATTAGTCATCAATCAACAGTAAGGATTAAACCTTTCTGATGCCATATTAAGAAACAGTGGAGATGAGGTATAACACTGATTTTCTGTTGGTCTGAGCAGCGTGAACGGTTGAAGAAACAGTTGGAGAAAACAAAGAACCAGAAAGAAAAGCTTGAATCGCTGTGCCGGTCACTTCAAGCAGAAAGGAAACAGAACTCCACTGGGAGCAACATCTCCGAATCGGTTCCATCTTGAACACTGCTCTACTCAACTGTGCAACCTAAAACTGATTTTGATGACCACCGTTACAAATGTTTGTTTTCCAAGAAACGGGAAAAAGAGACGTGATATTGCGATGAGTGTAATTCGTACTCTTTTGTTTTAGCAATACCTGTATTATTTGCGTCACTAGAAATTGCGAAATCGGGAGTTGTTTTTGTTCCTTCACTCCCCCGTTTATTTTAGAAGATTCGTGCTTTTCCTTTGTTTTCGTATTTATACTTTCCAGTTGCAACTCTTTCCGCTAGTATGGTTGAACCGAGAACACAATCGTATAGTGTTACTATTCTACGTGTTGTAATATAGGTGTACGGCCTGGTTCACATTCCTGCTTATTAATAGAGAATAAATAAATACACGTAATATAATGTAAGTGAAACAGTAAGACTGTACGATGTTTGTAACTTTTGCCGTTTAGCCACTAGTGTTATGGTATGGTCTAATAGCTTTTTTTTTTTTCTTCTTAATTTTAAGTGGTTTTAAATTGACGGCAAATTAACATTGATTCATTATGTGGTTTAGCCCGACAATACAGTATTATTGTTGGCGATTGTTTGACATAGCCCTAACACCCAACACAAAATCTTTGTATACAAATATAATCATAGTCCATTGCGTGTTTGTCGCAGAAAGATCAGGAAAAACCGTTGGTGAAACTGTTTGAGCAAATAAACAATGAACAAACCGTATGGCCGTGGCGCCAACCAAGTGCCAAAAGATGGAGGAGCAAAAGCGGCAACAAGGCAATAACAATGTCGTGAATCGGCGTTATTTGGAGACCAACAGAGAAAATATTCCGGTGTTCCTCATGAAATCTCCCCCGCTCGTCTCTCGCTGTCTGAAACCTGATGTCTCCTCCGCCTCCGCTTCTGATCAACAGCAGTCTTCTCCCGCTGTTGCCAAGTTGGTTCTCTCTTTTGACCCTATCGCCGAGGTCAACGAGGTACGTTTCTTTTTTCTTCTTCTTCTTTATACATACGTATACATACATACATATATATATATATAGACACACGCAGATGTTCTTCATTCACTCACATTGAATTGTCATCGTTTTTGCGTTTTGGGTTTTTATGTTCTTCCATGCATCGTCGTTTCGGGCCGTGATCTTTGTTTGTTTCTTAATCTTTTGCTTTTGCCTTTGATCCTGATTTCTCTGTTTTTGATTGTCGCTTTCTAGTTTCCCTCCTTTTCAGGGTTTTTCAGATTTTTCTTGACGCGCGTTGGCTAGAGCAGATATTCTTCCCTATGCACGCCAATTTAAATTCCCTTCTCATAATTTAGATTATTTTAAAGTAGAATATCGAAAATTGTTCTGCTTAATTTTTGCTTAGTTTTGGGTTTTAGTTTGACAATGTCACTCATCTATTTCGAATCCCCTCCCTGCAATTTAGATTAGTTTAAACTAGAACATAAAAAGCATTTCGGCTTAATTTTGCAAAGCTTTGGGTTAAAGTCTTCATGTTTATAATGTCACTCGTCGATGCATATGCATCCTTGTTTTGTTGCCCTTCCTTGTTTACACAAGTTGTTTAAATGACACTCAGTTCACCATGGAACTGGCGGCCACGAAATCTGAAAACGTACCCAAGTGTTACGCTTTGGATATGTTTGAAGACGCCCTTCCAATGTCCGTGTTTTCTGAGTCATCGCAAGGTAAGCATTCTCTCTTTCCGCCCTGGATTTTTCGATACTGAACTGCAATCGGCTTGATGTTATGATGCTTCCGTTCTAGTTGGATACTCACTTTGCTTTGACATTGTTCTTCTGAGATATCCATTGCTAAAGTTTTCCGCTTGGTAAATGGTTGTTGCAACGTAAATAAAGGAAGAAATGTGTTGCTTGCCTGGCTTTGAGGGATTAGTACTCAAAATCAGAAACAATATGTTAAAAACAAGTGGAGATTTATGTTTACTTCACCACAGCCACGAGCACTTGTTAACTGTAGCTATCAGTTTGGCGATCTTAACTGTATGTTGAAATTCTTTATCATCATAGGGACGTTATCCGTGGAGGGGAAGATATTGCAGAAATTTGATATGAAGCCCCATAGTGAGAACCTTGAGAACTATGGGAAACTTTGCCGCGAAAGGACCAAAAAATATATGAAGCGAAGAAAGATTCAGGTACCCCGCTCTCATACTCTATTTGGGTAATCTAATAGTCTATGCCAGTAATGTAATCACTAATTTGTCCGTTTTTCAAATTTCAGGTGATGAACAACGACAATGGGGCTCATATGAGGCCCAGGCCAGGGATGATGATTGGTTTCGTGTCTCCTGGACCCAGCGTGCGTATAGCTACCCTCGTTTGGTGCACTATTTTCTTTAGTAAAATTATTCATTGCTTCCCTTAGGGCACTCACATTATTCCGCACCGCATTTTCTTTCATATAGGAGAAAAAGAAAATGCCAACGAAGGGGTCAGACATGAAAAGAACAAGGAAGGACCGCGGAGAAATGGAAGATATCATGTTTAATCTCTTTGAACAGAAACCAAATCGGACGTTAAGGCAACTGATCCAAGAGACTAACCAACCAGAAGTATGTTATGTTTTCTGATTATTTTCTTTCCGGTTGATTTATAGTATCTGATTTACTATCAAAATCTTACCGTTTCCAAATTTATGTAAGATCTTTTCGTCACCTGCATATACTGTATACACACATCCATGGCATTGTTAAGGAAAGTTTTCTGAAAACTTTCCTTAACAGATGAATTTGAAGACATCTGCTCTGCTAAGTAGCACAAAATGTAGGCAATCTGAATGCTACTTTTATAGTTTTTACCATGGAGTACGAAAGTTCTTGAAGTAAATGTGTTCCAAGGTTAAAACAAGAAGATGAGCGTAAACGTGAAGCTAAATCTTCAATGCATTTCGATGCAGAAAGCGTAATTTAAAGGCAGCTAGATAAGAAACTGTGTCGTAGATTATTTCTTATAAACCCTACCTCTCGGTTAGATATCTTATACCAGGAGATCTAGAGTATTTATATCGCCGGAAATATACTGGAGTGGCTTAAATGCTGAAAGGTAAAACAAACCAAACCACAACTCCATTCTTTTCAACTTGTGATGCCAATGAGGTTTTCAACTTGTGAGGCCAATGAGGTGTTGGTCTTGATTGCCTGTGAGCCTCTTGTTTTATCATCATTCTCTTCGCGCTTTAGGAAAATCAACCGTTCTTATGAATCGTGATTTGACTCTGAACTTGTCCATTCTGCAGCAATTTTTGAAGGACATACTCAAGGATCTTTGTATCTACAACAACAAGGGAGCTAATCAAGGGACGTATGAGCTGAAACCGGAATACAGGAAATCAGTCGAGGAGCCAACTCCGGATTAGGTTGTATGATATTGATTTACTTTCGCTAACACGCACCTTTTCCGGGCAGATACCTCTCTTAACTGATCATTACTAGTTTTATTTATGAACAACTAATGCTACGGGCTTCACCAGTTTCGTTTGCACAGTTTGTAGGTTTAGGATTTCATGGCAGCAGATTTTGCAGCATTTTGTGGAGAACCAATCTGCATATTATGCCAATATGTTGGAAGGCTTCAAGAACTCAAATCATCATTCGAAATTGTTTACATCCATATCTTTGTCATGGGTACATCGCCACATGATGTTCTGTCCCGATGAAACAAGGACATGTGAATAAAAAATTTACACAAATCTTTATTTTATCGATATAGAACACCACAATGACAGTATACCCGTCATTCTACATATATGGAGTACTCCTTTTTTTAAGTATTGAAAATGCACTGGCGTTCAGAGTCTCAGATGGCTTTTGTATGAGACTGACTAAAATTCAGCATAAAATGGTTAATATATTTGGGGATTGTATTTGAACTTTCAAAATAAGAAATAATTATTTTATTTTATTTGTCTTTGGAATATTCTCTTATTTTGGTCCTTGGCCTAAAGCCTAACTGCCCAAATAATACAAATGTATGACAAAATCTCTTTTATTTTATCAAATCTTATGTCAGCCGTGACGTGGAGTTATAAATACAGGCACTATGTGTGTGATTTAAATTTTTAAAAAGAACTAAATTTATAAGTGGATAAAATTAGACGTGGGTGCAAATGTGTGTGTGTGAGGGAGAGAGAGAGAGAGAGAGTTTAGGCATTGATAGATGGAGGTTTAGAATAAAAAATCAAAAATTTATTTGTGCAAAATTATTATAATATTTAATTATTATTTATTTTTAATATTTTCTTGAGTTATGTGTAAAAGAGTATAATAGTAATTTTATTAGTTTTTTTTTTTATTTTTTGTGAACAAACATGATTCTATTAATATGTAGTTTATATTATAAATTTTCTAACCGTGAGACTAAATTTATTATCAACTTACTTATATTGTAAACGTCGTTAATTCATATTTCACATAACATTAAGTAAGTGAAAAAATTTATATTGTTTGAATTTAAATTATTTCTCACAAAAAATAATCAACAAAGGAGGACCACTAATTTACTTTTAATAATATTTGTCCTTCATGTGAAATTAAAAAAGCAAAACCACCAAATCAACTACTAAGTGGTAGATAATAATTAATCTCCAAAAAAAAGTAGTGGAAACACAACTAGCCAAAAGAAACGTGAGAAATAAATATCTCTAGTAATTGCTAAACCCACCAAAATAATTTCGACGACAAAAAATAATAAATAAAACCCACCACACAAAAAAACAAAAGAAAAATACACATAGAAAAAGCACGTGGTGCACACACCAAGGGCGACTTGGAACCCGGTGGGCCCCCGCAATGGAAACGTTCAGCAACTCAACACGCCAGATCTTGGACGGCAAGGCCCACTCCGTTCCAAAATCCCTTCCCTAATCGCATTCCTAAGCCTAATTAGATTTTAATTTCGATAGCTCCCAAAGACTCGAAGTAAAAAGCGTGTGGTCACCACGACGTCGTCTTCTTAATCTCGCCCCACCCCCTCTCCAAGCCCTCTCTCTCTCTAGAACTTTCTCTCTCTACAACCCAAAACGAAGGTCAATAATTCGGTTCCACCTAACACAGCGATACCTTTCCTCATCGTCTTCTTCGCCATCCTCTCTCTCTCAAGCTTTCTCGCTGTCATTGAATTTTTGCCCCTTCGCAAAACCTCTCTCAAGGTACCATTTCTCTCTTTTCGCTTTTGGCTTCTTGTAATTCTGCGTAATTTTCTGGGATCTAATTTCCGCCGTTGCGAATCCTGATTGTAATTCTCTCAAGTTTCTGCATTTCTTTGTTTTAATGTATGTTGGGTTCGTAATCTTGCATGAATTTGTGCTAGAATTGACGTCTTTTGGTGGATTCTTGGAATTCTGGGTTTTGGAATGAGTTGGGTAATGAGTCGATTATGTCGATGCTCGATTTCTGGGTCTTTTTTTTTTGGGGGCCGGGGGGGTTGGTGGGGGGTGGGGTGGGATTGAATCTTGAGAATTTCGAGTTTTTGAGTTGTTGAGTTGTTGAACGATCTAGATTAATGGGTTTTTTAAGTGGTTTAATAGCTGATTAAATTATTAATTACATTAATGGTATTTTGGGATTTAATCAAGATAGTAATTTTGATGACAAGTTTCTTGAATTTCTTGGTGTCTGAGAGTATAATCTATTTGTTTTGGCTGTAGGTTGGTCTAGAATTTTAAGAAATCTTTAATTTGAGAATGGGTTACTTTGCAACAACTGATGCTTTCGATGATTTTCATTTTTTGCAAGAGAGAGCATCGATCTGATTTCAGACATGTCGATATTTTTGGTGTATGTGTTTTCTTGCTCATGGTTTATGGCTGAGTTACTGATATGCGTTGTTCCTCCGTGCGCAGGTTAATTTTCTCGGCATTGGAGATGGATTCCTTTTTCAATTTCAAAGCTCCAAGTGACGATTGTGTGCCGTCTGAGCTAGACATTCTCAAATGCCCATTTTTGAGAAACATCAATGAGCCCACCAACTTTTCCTTCGCCTCATCCTTGGCGTTCCCAGTGCCTGTAAGTTATCCTTTTGTGCTTTGAATCTACTATTGTTGCCTTGTACTAGACTTGATTGAAATTGCGGCATTTTCCTGACACTACTTGCTTCTTTTCATGTTCAGGGACGTGGAGCCAAAGGTCCAATTTTTGAAGATGGTCCCAATTTTGACATGGCATTTCGGCTTTTCCATGGGAGTGACGGAGTTGTCCCGCTTTCTGGAAAATCATATGTGCATTCTGACATAGTTGAGCCTCGACCAGCCCCACCCATGTTCAATCCATTAGCTGCAAAGGCAGCTACGATCAGTCTCTCATCCTTTGGTGCTGGAGGGCCATTCAGTTTCGATGCATTCCATAAGAAATGGAAGAACCAGCAAAAGAAATCTAATTCCTCGAAAAAAGATTCTACTTCAAAGGTAAATTGATTGTTGCTTCGGACTACTAATTTCCCAGCGTCTTAAGTAATTGAACCTGCTTGTGGTTTTGTTGATTTTTTGTACTTCGTATCATTGAACAAGTTTCTAATTTTGTGTGGAATTTGATGTTTCAGGGAGGAAATTCTAATCACGAGGCAGTGAGCAATGAGTGGCTGCAATCCGGAAACTGTCCGATCGCAAAGTCATACCGTGCTGTTAGTGGTGTCATTCCACTAGTCGCAAAGGCTTTTCAGCCCCCCCCAGGCATGAAAATCAAGTGCCCGCCAGCAATAGTTGCAGCCCGAGCAGCCCTGTCGCGAACTGCATTTGCAAAGAACCTCCGCCCGCAACCCCTTCCTGCAAAAGTACTTGTGATTGGAGCGATGGGCATGGCAGCCAATGTTCCTTTAGGGATATGGAGAGAGCACACCAAGAAATTCTCACTATCTTGGTTCGCCGCTGTGCATGCAGCTGTCCCATTCATAGCCTTACTTCGGAAGTCTGTGCTGATGCCTAAATCAGCCATGGCGTTCACCATTGCCGCATCAGTACTTGGACAGGTGATTGGCTCCAGAGCAGAACGGTACCGTCTGAAGGCGGTGGCTTCTAAAAGTTCACCTCTGACTGAAACCTCCGCTGGTGTTGTGACAGCGCAGACAAGCGAGCTACAGGTGCTCCAAGCGAAAACTGAAACCTCTGCTGGTGGTGCGACAACGCAGACAAGCGAGCTACAGGTGCTCCAAGCGAAAACCGGCCACTGCAATGCGATGGAGGAGTGGAATTCAGTTTCTCTTCAGGTGGCGCGTCCTTCGTCATCCACAGATGTGTTCTAATGATTTGTTTGTATTTCGATGGGCGCTGATCGATCCGTTCCATCGTTTCTATGTATTTAACGGAGTATAATTCTCTGTTTGGTTTGTGACTCCAAACACTGTCCAAGTTCTCTGAAGACCTGAGAGAAGAATAAATGTATAATTCGAATGACGATTTTTTCGAGTTGTTTCCCTTCCTTCAAGTTTTATGTATTTGACTATGACCTGTATCCAGAGGTGTACTAGTTGTACAAGGTGTTTAGAAAATAAAGTACTTTGCTTCTTTGATTTAAATATAATCTTTTCGACACGTGCCTAGAAAATTTTCATTTTGCGTTGTGTTCTAGTTGTTTTAAGTACGCATTACAGACTGTGATTTGCAGCGTTTTTAACAAAATTTAAAGTAACGGCTTGAGCATATCTCAAATTTTATTAGATACATATCTTAAGCATTGTTGCTTGCTACATCCTTAGGAGTTTTGGTAACTTACTAGAGGAGTTAGTTATGTACACCATGTACCTACCATGCATTACCACGAGTTTTAACTTACTCACGTAGCATTACGTGATTTAATTTAAGATCCTGACATTGTAGCGTACCAATTTTATACGAGGGCTCGTAACTTGGCTAGTTTGCCCAACATATGTAAATCTCAAAATCCAAAAACTTATAATAATCCCTAAAAATCATTGAAATTTTCAATTAAAAATAGTGGTGCTATTCACACTTATTTTTAAGAGAGTTTTAACGAAAATCTCAAGGTACTTTTCACTTTAACAAAAAGTCACATTTTTACAATAAAAAGCTAATCCTGATATTATTCACTTCACCATTTATCTTATTTTTATCTTTTCAAATATTTTCATTAGTTTTCTTTATTTTTGTTTTTATGTTTCACACTCAATTATTTGGGAATCGGTCACCGGTCCTTAAACGACGCCGGATAAAGGCAGCAGCCGCCTTTCTTCACTGAAAGTCGCTTTCTTTCTCGGTTGAAAATTGGAAGGACACATACAAATGTCTAGCTCCTCGCAAGTATGTCAGCCTCAGACGTTTGGATTGCCGTGGCCCGATCTCAACGACGGATTGTTCTACAACGACGTCGTTCGAGCCTCCGATTCCGGTACTCTCCTTAAAATCTCCCTAGGAAGATACTGTTTTTTTCCTACTTTTTCTGTTTCTTTCCTGCATTTTCTCGGCAGCCAAACAGCCTCCAAGCCTAGAACTGGATTGTCGATGCTTTCTTCGATTTTAACTTGTCCGAATTTGACTCCGATTGTTGGTGTGCACTACAGAACTGACTCTGATCGAGTTCTACTCTAGCAAGTACAAGAATTCAGCTCCATTGCAAGGGTAGTCAGCTTATACCAAATTGCATTCCAACAATTTAAATTAATTTGATTTATTTACTGATTTATTTTTGCATTTTAAGTAATAAAAAATATGTTTAATTTGAAGAACAGATGAAAACTTTGTACTGATAATTGAGCAGTTGGTTGCAGAGAATTCGGAGCGGACAGGTTCGAACATCGAAAATCATGGAAGGTTTGTTATGGAAAATGTGAAAATATGCCTGTTAAATTCTCAGCATTGCTTGTTGATGTTGTCTGCAGATAACAGTTGATAGAGAAGTTGTTAGAGATCCTGATACGATCCTCAGGTGGTTCTTTGTTTCGTGGATGTGATTTTTCGCTTTTAAGATATGCTTGCTCTCATGTATATAGAAGATTTTTATGTTTTGTTTCTATAACATGATCAATTTGTTTAGGGTTGGTTCGAAACTGACATATCATAGACTTCCGTGGAGAGAGCCCGATGCACCATACTTGCTCGAGGTTCTGTATGAGGATGATGATATGGTAAATTTCTCAAAGTGGTTACTCATCGATTTGTATGTCTCATGTCCTATCTTCTATCTTCGTTGCGTTGTTGCTTCATTCCCATCAAGATTAGTGATGTTAAACACTTGAACTTATGTACATTTAAGGTTTCTAATACTGTGTTGATTAACTCATGTTGTAATACTTATGTGCATGTTGTTTTTCTTACTGGTATTATTATCTACTTAAACTCGTGGAAAATATAAAACCATTATACCAAATGCTGACATCAAATGGTCTTTTGTTTGTTCAAAATGTAATTATAGTTGATTTTAGAGATTTTATGATAAACATATGTACAATATTATGAAATACTTCCCACCTAAGAATTGGGGTGAAGTTGGTCTTCGGTTCAGTTTTGTCCAAGAATAATATTCGAAGTCAGTTTGGCTTGTAAAAGTTGAGTGTTGGTCACCTTAAATGAGGATCCGTTGCCTTACCCTCCCTTAAGAGCTAAATGAGCATAGGGTTCTTTTTTCCCTTGATTCTTTGAAAACAAGTTAGAGGTTTTTTCATGAGAAATTTTGTTATCAAATAGCAACCAAATGACGCCTTGGAAATTATCTATGGTTTCTCTGCGAAGAATCTGTTAACAGTTGTTTGTTTTCTCCATTTTGGTGGTGACTCTTCTTGATGTGAAGTTTTAATTTTGAATTCAGATTGCTCTAAATAAGCCTTCTGGGCTGCAAGTTTTACCTCAAGGTCTTTTCCAGCAACGAACAGTTCTCACACAGCTCCTATGGTGGGCAACACAGAAGATTTCTCACTTATCGTGCCAACAACCACATCCTGTTCCTGTCCATCGCTTAGGAAGAGGAACTTCAGGTATCCCATGAAGTCCAATGCTGAAATAATTGATGAAGTCCCTTGTATTCTTCTTTCTTTTCAATCAAAGTGGCTAAGTTTTCTTATACATGACTGTGGACATGAGATGATTTGAATGCATGTTCTATCTAATTACTTGAGTTAACCCATGCTCATTATGGCCTTGGAATTTTCATTATTAACGATTAATGTGTAGTAAAACATAGAATTGAAAAACATGGTTTTATATATCACTTTGTCTCAAGAAGCATCCTGTATTTTGTTAATACACATGGTATGTCAGTTGGATTTACTTATTGCAGAAAGATTGTCAAATTTCAGAACCTAGTTGTAAAGATGGATAACTTAATGCTGCTTACTATGTTTCTCACTAGATAACATCTACACATAACGAAAACCTTTTTCCTCAATTTATTGCTCCTTTCCAGTTCTACATGTTATTCTCACAAATCTGTTCATTGTCACAGTTACCACAAGAATGGTTATACTTCTTAATATTCTTCTGGTTGACTGGTCTCATATGGTTCTAGGAATATTACTCTGTGCAAAGACAAAGCATGCCAAAACTCAGCTTGCAGCATACTTCGCTGACGGGACATCTAATATTGGAGATGGCAGGTTAGAGAAATGGCCTATTCCATCTTGCTCACATCTTATTTTGGCTTCTCATTTTTGAATGAAAAAACTTAAGATTCCTACAGTTTGGTTATAATCTTTATCAATTTGGCAATGTGATCGACAGTATCCACAGTAATGCTGACGTGGAGCCTTGTACAGAGAGGAAAATATCAAAGATTTACCGGGCACTAGTGACTGGGATAGTTTGTGAGGATAAGGTAACATCCGTTTGAAGTACTACTGAAGTGTGTGCAACTCTGACTACTGTCTGTTTGTGCATGAATAAGGTTTAATATCTCAAACAAAACATCAACATCCACTGTTTCCATACCTTATCTCAACTCAAACTGATGATTTCTTGAGTCTAGCAAGCCTTCCTTTCTAATTTTTCTTGATGCCGTCATTTCAACTTTATATATTGCTACTATTCATGCAAATAGAGTGTATGATAGATGTGAAAATTTTATAGGTGATTGTAAAGCAGCCAATTGGAATGGTGCGATATCCTGGTGTGGCTAAAGGGCTGTATGTTGCTTCTCCTACAGGTTTATTTGCATTAACTAATGTGTTGAATAATTTTGTGTTTACTGTAAGCTCCCTCCAATACACCATGATTTGGAAAGATGATTGCAATCTTTAAGTCGTGTGTGTTAAACCATTCACCGTTTCTCTGAGTGTTTAATCACCTCATCTCAGGATGCAATGTGTTAGATTCATAAAACAATCTTATTCTAACCCACCATGCTTATCTCTTTTTGATATTTTATTTTATCTTAACCAGGAAAGCCAGCTCTGAGTAAAGTTGAAGTTCTTGAGAGACAGATTCATAAAAACCAAACGCTAGTCCAGGTACCCCTGATTTTACCAATTCAACCTTCAGAAATAATATATAGCCTTTGTAGTATCTATCTATTTTACTTCCATGGTTGATATTCTGGCTTCACTCCGCCATTTTAGCATAGTGCTTTTCAAAAGCCGGTATATAACTACGATGACAACGATAAGACATAGGACATTGACAATGGACAAGAAAATCAGGTTGTGTTTGTTGTTTTTGGAATTGAAAGCAACTTACAATAGCACACTGATACTTTAACAGGTTGAGATTCAGTCAGGAAGACCGCACCAAATTCGCATCCATCTTTCCTACATAGGACATCCATTGTTAGGTAAGTCTTTTATCGAACCTAATCATAGTCCATGTGGCACTCCCAGTCTACGGGAGCTATTGGCTTGATCGCAATTGGACCTTAATTGGGATTAGGCTGTGTCCAACATGTTATGAGAATCTGGTTGTTGGAGGGCATGGGCTTGAGAAACCTCAAATCCCCATTTGCTTGGACTAGTTGAATGCTGAACAAAATATTTGTGAAATTATTTTTAGGCAATAAGGAGCCGTTAATTTGGATGTCACATTTTGCCTTTCTATACAGGAGATCCTCTCTATGTACCTGGTGGACAACCAAAGTGCTCAGATTTCGACTTGGTCGATGAAAGTTTTGCCGATGATGGGTATGCAGTCAGTGTAATATAAATCCAAAAGCATTCAAATGTAATTCCGTCGTCCATGAGATGTAATCACATTTAGGATAATGAAATCACATTTGTGTATGCAGAGGGTTTCGGAGGCCTACAAATCCTGTTCCTGGTGATTGTGGCTACAACTTGCATGCTCATCAAGTCACTCTCTCTCACCCCGCATCCAATGAGGTATAACGTTGCTGTAATTGCTATATTAGATGACCTATTCGGCTATTCCGTCTCAAATCAATGGGGTTGTCATGGTTTTTGGCAGGTAATCAAAGTAATAGCACCACTTCCACCTACTCTTCGGACGCAACAAGAACCCGAACAACTCACTCGCGGTAAACCCGAACAACCTACTCATTTGCACTACTAATATCGGTCGATCAAAGGACTAAGAACTAAGAAGTTACTTCCAATTCCAAATGTATTTCCTTGGAGTTTTACTTTTACCTTGATCAATGCCAAAGCAAACAAGAGTTGTACCAGAACTAAAAGTTACCATGAGACAAAACGACGTCAGATCAGATCAGGGATCCAAAGCTTCCCAACTTTTGCAGTTTATTTTTGTATTTTCCCATAAAAATTAAAATACAACAAAATACAAAGCTGCTCCTGCAATATTACAAGCACCTAACAAATTTAAATAACAAAAGCATTTTACCCAACCAAAAAAAACGACGGAGACTTTTGAAGAGTCCATTTTTGCCCTATCACGTCACTGACTGCACTAGACCAACACCAACCGAAAACTATTATACAGGGCGCAGCAAATAAACAATTTGCCGCTGAGGGAGCGCCGATGGCCAAGCCAGGCCCCCTCTGCAACCATCTACTACCTGCCTATATCCCCCTTCCCTCCTCTCCACGACTCTTCCTTCCGGAATATGCTCCCGGCCTGCCCCCCGTACTGTTCGGTTTTTGCGTAGTGCATTCTAATGGCAGCCACGGGATCTGATACCGTACACGGACCCCCTACGAGGATCCCTCCCCTCCCTACTACATTCATCCCAACACTCCCCCTTCCTTGCTGCTGTATGCTCGAAATTGCATCAAACCCATTTCGTTTTGGAATGTCAAACACGTCTTGCCGCTGCTGCTGCTGCTTCACATCTACTGTAAATGGCTGAACTTTGTTACCACCGTCCTGGCCTCTACTAAACACAGGATAATCAGCAACTCCATTGCTACCATTGATCTCCTCGCCACGAAAAACTGATATGCCATTCATACTCCGATCGCTGGTCTTCACAACTGCCTGCAGTGGCTGCTGTTCCATTTGGGAAGAGGATGTAGGAAAATTGCTAAACGCTGCAGGGTACTTGGCCAGCAAGATAGCTGAGTCAGAAAACGATGAATAACCAGCTTGCACTTTATTCCCTTCCCAAAACCCGCCGTAACTCCTACTGGGAACATTCTCAAGGCCCAGATAACTACTACAATCAAACTTCAGGAGGGGAGAATTCCCGTCAGCACTGTGATGCCCTGTGAGATTTAAGTTAGACGACTTGTTGCTGAACTTTTGGTTATGAGCTCCCTCTTCTTCATTCTCATGGATGCTGCCATTTGGCTTGGACGAAGATGACGGGTTGCTGAGTATCTTACCAAAAAGTTTCACATCACCATTCCTGCTTGGTTTATCCGAATCTGAAGAACTCCATGAATGGGCTTTTCGTGCGTCACCTGGTTGTTCTACCTTCAGGGGCACAGGAGGACAATCAACCCAAGAACATTGGGGCTTGGAATTCCCAAATTGAAGGAAGCCATCTTGTGTCATATAATGCCCATTGATATTTCTGTCTGGCTTAACTTCAGATAAATTACCACAACTTACATCCCCATTCGTCTCTTTCTTGGGTACCATTTGCAATGGATAGCCTCTGAGAACTTGCGAAGCTTCGACGTTTGCATGTACTGGAAGACCTGACAAATGCTTGCGACTCTCATCTCTACCAACAGATCCCTCCCGCAGATCCAGGGTTGATGACATCCTATCTTGGCTAAGGGATTTCTCGCATTCAATGACAGCAGAATCTTGTGGCACAGAAACTGCAGTAGCAGGAGCATTCTCATGTGGCAACAAGATGACAGAAGGCTTTTGCACAGAATTCAGCTCAACAGAAACTTGATGTGGGCACTCAGGGTTTAGGCCGGGAGCTGAACAAGAACCATCAGCGGCCACATCAGAAGTATTGCCACATGAATTGTGTGCTGAGGCTGGTAAGCAGCATCCACTTGGATCTCTATTGCTTCTTTCATCTCCCCCCTCCAGTTTCTTTCCAAATCGATCAGAAGAAATTTGACCGACCAATTTTTCCCCAACCATACATTCAGGATTAGGTGGGTCAGAGTTGATTCCCTCACCAAAAGGTCGTGATTCTGCAACCAAAATTTTGTTTTCAGTTGCATTACCTCCCATAGCATTGGATTCCATGATATCAGTGTCGCCGTCAAAAACTAGCTTAGGCTTATCCACCGCCTGGAATGCATCAGAAGCCAGAGATTTGAGAGGCTTACCATCTCCATGATCTACTTCTCCCATCACATTGTTTTCCTCCGGTCTGGGTGGGCTTGTTTGCAATTTCATGGTCTCCGCAGGATCAGCTTCATCGTCATTCATGTTTGTAACAGACAGCGGCACATCCTCGTTCATGTTACATCCCGACTTGTCACTGGAAATACCTGAACCAGTTTCCAGAACACAGGCATCTTCAGCGTCACTCCCACCTCCATTAGCATCATCACCAACAGATGTTCCATTTCCGGGCCCAGGATGTACCAAATCAAGCCCAAGGCACTTCCGAGCCTTGCTAAAGAAAACCTTGCATTGCTGCTGAGACCTCGATCTAATGCACCGTGAGATCATATCAAAATCCTTTCCATAGGAAGACACTGCCTGAATAAATCTAGACTTCTCCTCGTCTGTCCAGTCAGAAGGATCCATTTCTCCACAACTTTCATCTGAGCAAGTCTCATCATCCACATTCTGCATAACATCAGGTGTCAAAGGTCGCCTTACTACCGAATCCCCTTTCTGGCACTTCCATTCCAGATAAGACTCACCAGGATCAATGGAACTAGTGATGCAAGAACTCACCGCCTCAGATGACATTGAGCCACATATACCTGCTAAAACGTCAGCAGCAGCTGTTTCTCTTTCATTGCCAATAGTATCAAGACTGCAAGACCTTTCAACAGTGGTATCCTCACCACGAGATGTATTCGTATTCCTGTACCCTCCCAAAATTAACCTCCTCAAATACGTTTGTTGATTTCTTGTACCACCATCAGCATGAGCTGCAATTGCTGATGCAGCACCCAAAATATCAAGGGAAGCAGCATCCATCTCACGATTCCATTTTTTCCCATCTGAAATTAAGTAGGTATTAGCCGAAGACTTTCCTTGCTTAGCCATATCAGGCTTCTTCTTTGTTTTCACAAAGCAATCAGACTTGTGGTGTTTGTAGTAAAACTCGACACAGTCAGCAGTCGTCTTGTGATCAAGAAAGGAAGCAATTTTTCTGAAATCCTTCCCGTAGGTGGTTAGCTTTTGGATGAAAAGCTCTTTCTCTTCTGGCGTCCATGGGTTCATCAAAGCCCTTTCCTTCTCAACAGCACAGGGATCTTCAACTAAACCATTACTAGAAACAAATCTTGTCGCCAACTTCTCCTCCTTGTCCAAGATTAAGGCTGGCATCTTCAATGAGTTCCTGTATGGCTTTACTTGGGAATCTGACAGCAACTTGTTAGTGAAATTAATAATCTCTGTAGTAGGAACCACGCTCAGACTTCCTGCTGAAAAAAAATCATTAAAAACTTGTGATTAAAAAATGATTCACCAAAACACAAATGTAGATGTATTTGTTTTCAAAGATTTACACATAAGACTTCTATAGTTGATCAAATATCAAATAATCAATGAGAGTAGTTATCTAAAGCATGCAACGAAACAACTACAAGTAACCACTACCGCTAACACATCCATGTAGTCACTACTAATACACGGAAAGATAATGAAAGCCGTAGCACCAGAGTCAGCATGAGCGCCTCATAGGCAAGCATGGTGCATCAATCAGAACAAGTTAATTGCTAACTTACTGAAAAGACAAATACTGATTACAATTAGAAAAGGCAAAAAAAATCACAAAAAACAGTTTAGATTCAAGGGCAATTGATATTAACTTATTCGCACTCCAAGATACTAAAAGAGACATCCTGCCCTCCTTCCTTATTTTCACTGGAAACTGTGTACAAAAAGTTCCTCATGCATAAGAAAAAATTTATAACCATGTTCAAACAATCAAATGCCACAAGAAGCACCAGAAAACATAAAACAAGAAATAAGTCTGTAAAAAAAAAGTCGAGCCACGTCACAATCTTATCCATCATGAAAACTGTTTTACTTAGTTTTTCTTATTTAGATATGAGAATATCAGCATGCTTATAAAACCAATCACTTTCTTCCAATCTCATGAAAGACAAACAGAAAAAGCAGATAGAATTTCTTACCAGGTGTAGAAAATCGCGATCGAATTGAAGAGCGATGCTTCTGATGTCCATTATTAGTCGCTCGCAAGCTTAACTCAAATTTTTTGTGAGATTTTGGACGATATTTTCGCATGTAAAGCACACTCATGTCTTCCTTCCACAACTGTTGAAAGGCTTTAAATTTTAAGGTTATAACTCTCTCCATAAACCTTAAACGTCGCTTCCTCTTGGCAAACTTCTCTTTGATCAATGAATCATTCTTCCAGGATGAGGAAACACTAACTCCAGAAATATGCTCGTTTGGTAACAGCTTACTAAATATGTCAGATGCTCTACTTGCAAATATTTTATTGGCAGAAAATATAGAATCGCATAACTTATCTACTACACCAGAGTCCAGTGCAACAACCTCACTATCCAAAAGCATGCTACTATTACCACAAGTAGATGGGTCAGTCTTTTCTGCATATCTGCTGGGCACTAAGCACGTCTCTTCTCCTTTGGTTGTCTGGATTGGATCCCGATCCTCAGAACCACCAGTTTTATTCGTCATATCAGATGAAACCAAAGGTAATGATTCAACAAATTTCGATGTCGCTGTTCCAGGACTATCGATATCCTCATCCTTAACAATACCGCAAAATTCTACCTGGTCACCATTATCAACACACGTCTTCTGCAAATCAGTGTCCCCAGAAGAATGAATTTGCAATGGAGAAAGGCGAGTGGTCAAATTTGTGACCTGTTCTTTGCAAGATTTATCCTTCTCCTCCACAGGCAAAGAACTAGAAGTTGCTGGACGGGGGCAGCTGCCCCCAGAATCAGATTTCAGTGCCTTAAGTTCGTTTTCGAGTGAATCAATTTCTGACTCAGTTACCTCCAATACCTTTGAAATTTCACCTTTCCATATAAGCAACTTGTTCAATGCAGTCGGCCTCGGGACACTAGAATCCACTGAACTTGGATCATCAGACTGAAGCAATTCAAGTATTGATGAGTCCAAGTTAACTATAGAATTACCATCCAACTTTTCCAATTGGAATGAGAATCCCTCGTGATGACTCTGATACATAGGACCTGGGGAACCACAAGAGTTTCTAGTATCGTTCTCAACATTAACTGCCTTGCAAAATGATTTCTCCTCCACACCTGTAACAACATGGGTAACTATAATCACAAAAAATTCTGTGCATAGAACATGTGATTAAGGTAGAGAGAAATATAACAGTACGGAACAAATAAACATGGCAAGCCAGCACATAACTTTTCAACAGAAAAATATGTAATGTAATTCTCTGAAAAACCACGAGTTCAAAATATTTAGTATAACTATTTAGTGAGTAAAAGTATTTAAATCTATAAAATTTCCAAAGTATTTAAATCTACACTTTCCAATTTTCTACCCCAAGCCCTACCAATTCCGTTAATGAAAAGGTTGATAATGATAAGCTTCATCTACTATGTTCATATGCGAGGATTCACTGCCCAACTTTCTAGCTAAATCATCTGAATCTCATACTAAATGGTACTAGACTTGCATTCAGAAATAAACAATAATGCCAACATGACACTACATATTTAAAAACACAAATCTTGTCAAAATCCACTTCCAAGTAAGGTCACAAACTTAAATAGGGTTAACACGTAATGAGAATGTAACGATGCAACAACAGACCTGGAGAAGAACTGCAAGCAACAGAGGATGGAGTTGCAGGAGATGCACAATCTGAGAAAGCTGTAACTCGGGGGCTTTTATCAGGCAAGCTTGAACTCAGAGAATGGGCTGGTTCAGTGTTGCCAACAGAACAGACAGCCGCATCTCTGTTCATGCTACCATCAGGGACGTCGACTTTCTTTTTCTCATACTTTGCCAAACCCTCGCCCCATCCAAGGCGCGGCTTCTTCCTAGAAGTTGTTTCCTCTAAAGGTGCAGCAGATGTTACACAATTAGTAGCTTCTCCCGAAGGAGACTGCACTGGAGTGGCTGTTTTCGGCTGTGACTCAACCTTTGCTTCATTGGAATCAATGGGCCCCATGCTTTTTGAGCTACTTGAATGGCTGAAACCCGAACCCCGAGAAGACATGCTTCCGGAGCGCGTCCATTTGAGAGGCTTCCAATCAATTGAGACCAATGAGTTCTCTCTCTCACATTTCTGGCCAGCGCCTAAACCAGTGGAACCACCCATTTTATCAAGCTGGTCTTTCAATTGAATCTGATCCCATGCGCTTCCAAAGTCAGACTGTTGATGAGATGAGTATGTCAGCATATCATCCTGCGACCTCTGTTCATTATTCACACGACTTGGCCTCCCAGGCATGTTTGGAGACCCACTTCTGGTTTCCCAAGAATAGCCTTTACTTTCCCTCTGGCTATAAGGTGGCCCTCTATTATCCCTACTGTTCCTACCATACCTTCCATCTCCTCGTGAAAATGATGACCGGAAGCTCTCATCTTCCACCATCTTATCGCCTGACCGAGACGATCCATACCCATGACCAGAATCATCGGAGAACACGTGCCAACCACCCTGCTTACCATGACCTTCAGAAAATATTTAAACGGAAAGGCAAAGATAAATAATTCACTCAAGCAAAGTATATCTTCAAACAGTACCAACAAAAAAAGCAATAACCATATTTCAAAAAAATCAAAGAAAAAATACATATTGCCATTGGCAGATCTCCAAGTTTCGCAGATCTAAACAATACTTGTAAAAAGAACTACGAAATTAACCGAGTTGTAACATAAGAAAAACACCCGAAACCGCTTACTGATGGAAAGAACATGCTGCTAAAGATTAAGTAATTTGCAACCCCATCCCCATATCATTGTTTTTGTTCTAACAAACCCACCCCCTCAAGAAAGCGATTCTACAATCCTAGAACATCAAATTAATGCAATTTGTGTGTGCATATATCTGGTGCCAATAATTTTAATCCTAGATATACAGAAGAGAAACAAAGGCAAAAAGGGAGATTATTCAATACAAAGAACACACAAATACCTGGCGGTCTGCGAAAATCGCCGGAAGCCCAACGATTGAAGTCGCGAGGTGCATGATGGGGCGAGTCCCTCCATCGTGCCACAGAGCCAAGGGACTCCGACCTCTCGTGCTTCCTCTCCTTGAAGAAGTCTTTCCGATCCCAAGGCAATGGTTCTGGCGGCATCAAAAACAACCCAATCGCATGGGCAGACACACCTTCCAACCCTAATTTCTAAACCCCAAACACCACCGCCAAGATCTCCCTCGGCCGCACGCCCGCCCGCCAAAGTCTCCGCCTTTCGCTGCCCTCAAAAAAACACCACACCGCACACCGCACACCTCCCTAATCCCTCCCTACCGCACTGAATCTAGGGCTTTCCGCACAAAACACCCACACGAGCCTCGGCCGTTGAGTGCCGCCCTAGAGTTTCGAAGCCAGATCGAGAAGGGGACAAAGCGCGGGGGGTAGTTTACTGAGCCACGGAAGATGAGAGCGCTGCTAGGGTTTGCTGCTGCTACCTTATCCGTCGTCGTTTTGGCTGCCCTTCTTCCACTTTCTTTCTTCTGTGCTGCTGCTTAGAGAAAATCTGCCTGTGGAGCGAGAAAGTGAGAACCGTGAGCAGCCGATAAGGGACAAAGCGAGCCTTGAGAGAGAGAGACTGGCATCCGGATCTCAAAATCCCTATTAAACTCGATTTCAATCTCCTTTCGCGTCCGGGGTATTTAATTTTTTTTAAATTAGGAAATCTTTTTATTATTTTTATTTCATCAATCAAACTTTTCTTTTTCACTTTGGCCCCCGCCTGTGTTCTCAGCGTCTTACCGAAAACGCCCCTGGTTTCGGAGCCTTATTTACGGAAGAAAAAAGGCGGTGGTTGCCCGCTGTATTTTTCTAGAGTCAAATGACGGATTTACCCTTATGAAATTTTCTAATACCGGCGCTGTCGTGTCACGTTTTGAGTCCGATGACGTTGGTGTTTAAATTTTGTGTATTTCGTTGACTTCGCTATCTTAGTGAAAATTGAATCGGTATGATCTTTATTTATTTATATGTTGGTGATGAAAAGAGATTTAAATTTGAATAAGGTGGTGTGCACATGCAAATTATATGTTGGTGATAAGAAGAGATTTAATGAGGTAGTGTGTGAGACATCCCACATCGCTCAGGGAAATGATCCTTATATGCATATTTTGATCCCTACCTATCACGAGGCCTTTTGGAAGCTCACTGGCTTCGGGTTCCATCGGAACTCTGAAGTTAAGCGAGTAGGCCGCGAGAGCATTCCTAGGATGGGTGATTCATCGGGAAGTTCTCGTGTGAGTTCCAAAAAACAAAACTGTGAGGACATGATTGGGGCCCAAAGCGGACAATATCGTGCTACAGTGGTGGAGCAGGCCTCGAAAGTGATCTGCCCCGGGTCAGAATGTGACAATTTGGTATCAAAGCCTAACCCTGGTCGCGTGTGTGCCGACGAGGACGTCGGGCCCCTAAGGGGGTGGATTGTGACATCACATATCGTCCAGGGAAGTGATCCTTATATGTATATTCTCATTCCTACCTAGCACGAGGCCTTTTGGGAGCTCACTAGTTTCAGGTTCCATCGGAACTCCGAAGTTAAGCGAGTAGCGCACGAGAGCATTTCCAGAATGGGTGGTCCATCGGAAAGTTCTCGTATGAGTTTCCAAAAACAAAACCGTGAGGGCGTGATTGGGGCCCAAAACGGACAATATCGTGCTACGGTGGAGTCGGGCCTGGAAAGTGATCCCGCCCGGACCAGGATATAACAGTGTGCACATGCGACTCTATCATTATCCAAATATAAGAGAACTCATATCTATAGTGTAATAAAAAAGTTTTGGCATTTATCGTTGTGTTCAATACTATTGTATTACATTATTATTTATATCAGAATTACAAATTTAAATAGGTCAATATTGTTTCTTTTAAAAAAAAAATGATCAGCTGGTGGCTTCATGACAATCCATCTTTTCGAGGACCCACAGAGATTCACAGATATATTTCAATCTCTCTCTAACCTTATATTATTACATTATTATTGGTCTTATAATTACGAATTAAAATAGGTTTTTTTTTTAGGCAAGCAAAAAAGGAACTTCATTGTTTTATGCTTCTGCTGATTACATTGATAATCCAAATAGTACATCTTAAATTCAAGCATTAAACCCTAAAATCGTCATCTTGAATACGAGGAAAATACCAAAAAAATTATCAATGAGTGAATAAGTTTTTCAAACAAATTCGCTTGAATTGATCCACCAGAATACAAATAACTCATAATTTTTGCTTATTCAGAACTTCACGTAACAATGCATGAATAAATTTTCCGGAAAAAGAATTCACTTGAATCGACCACCAAAAAGCAAATAACTCATTCATTTTTTTCATCAGAACTCCACATTACAGCATCCTTGCAAGATTAATCTTTACAAAGCAAATATTTTGATGTTATATATAGATGAGATATAAACTCCGCGTTACAACATCCTTACAAGATTAATCCTTACACAGCAAATATTTTGATGTCATATATGGATGAGATATATAAAAGTGCCAAGTTAGTCACAATAATCGAATCGGATGAAAATAAAATAAAAAGAAGAATCACCAACCCACCATATCCATCTGATTAAGCATAATATCAAGCCTCAAAAAGTTCATTATTCTTAAAGTAGAACACTAAGCTCAATGAAATGGGCAAGGGATAACTTATCAAAACCTCTAGGAATAAGAATCAAATAAATAGAAGAATTATATACAATCTGTTTAATATATGTAACAAACAAACTGCTGAGAACTTGACGAACAACTAAATAAGGCATTTGGAAGCTCCACCCTGCAATTTCAAAGCCTCTCACTTTCTTCATCTTCTTCTTTGTTCAAATTAATCTTAGGATTAGTCAGTTCTATTTCTCAATGGTGGGCAAGGCAAGGTAAGGCAAGAGAGAAAGGATATAACTCAGCAGTAGAGTGTCACCTTGATGCGTGGAAGTCATCAGTTCGAGACTGATTATCCCTCTATCTACGCAACTAAAACCGCAAACTCTCAAAGAAGAAAAAGGGTGAGTCAAGACCAGTTTTAGGCCTTGTTCGTTGTCTTTGCTTGATCGGGTTGTTTGATCATGGTGCTGGTTGTTTTGGGGTTGAGAAATAGGGGTTTGGTGTTTGTTCTGGAGATGGAGAAGTCATGGGAGCCTTTTGGAAAGTGCCCTACCAAATAGTCTCCTTTCCAACTAAAATTTTGACAAAACATCATTTATAGCCTTGCCGACACAAGGAGGTAGATCACGACCTTTCCTACACACAGGGACACAAAAACACAACCTAATCATATGGGATATTTGCAATTTTCACTTTTGGGAATTGGGTCCATGTAGAGAGAGAGTGTGTTTTTTCATTTTTCTATTTCAGAGAACGGTTTTTTTTTTTTTTTTTTTTTAGTACATCGATGTATTTACATTAAGGAGAGAGGGAATTTGGCAAAACTACATAATGAGCAACCTAATTTAATTCGAACCTAAGAAGACTCTTTCAACAGTAGAACTCTCTATGGACTTTCTGCAACCTTCATATTTGACACAATATTTTATAATATTAACATATAAATTAACGTTAAACTGCTAGATGGCGTAGAGTCAATGAAGAGTCCCATTTTTGAAAGAATTTCCTGAGACTTCTCAACTTGAGATAGCTTTTAACATTCATGCATAACGTAGTATTACTAGACCAATGATGAATATGAATGTAATCATTATAACAGGTTTAGTAATCAATACAAATGAACATGACATAACCCAAGATTGAAATTAATGGAATGCTAATTCAAGTGTAGAGATGCTAGCAACCTTTGTACTAATCTTTATATTTGAGTTTTTTTCATTTTAAAAAGTGTCGTGTTGTTTTTTTCTAAACAAGGACCAAAGTATTTAATGCTTTTGACTAGAAATTAAAGATGGAATCCACAACTTAATGAAATTCGACAAAATCCACACAACATTTTTAATACACCTAGATATGTATACACTTGTTTAATGTCCATTAAAATCATATTGACTAAATGTGGATTTGGGCTCTTAAAATGTCTTATAAAATTCTAATCGACAACACTAGGATTTTATTCTTTTAAAATTCTTCTAAATTCTATTTTGATTATACGCCCTTAGGGTAAAGAAAATGATAATATTTGCATTTTCCCATGGAAATGCACAGATTTCATCCCTTTGTGAATAACATATCTTCATGGAATAAAATTTTATGATCGGAGCCGTTCAACTTTCAGTAAAAACTAAAAACAAAATAATTATCTAACACCTCAAAAATATATCTTTTTCAAATTCTCAAAAAAAAAAAAGAAAAAAAAAAGAATTTTGCATTAATTTGTATCTGTACACATTTGTCACTAAAGCATTTCCCCTTCTCGACATGTCCAAAATCATGCACCCCACAATGAAAAATTCCTATATATATCTGTCGCATCTTTAAGAAAAATAATTATAAACTTTTATTGTTGAAAACTAAAGTTAGAAGAGAAATTAGACTTTTTGAAAATTTAAGTTTTTCCATGGACTTTCTGATGCTTAATATTTTTAGTACAATATTTTATAATATTAACATAAGAAATAACGTTAAATTGTGAGTGGTAGAAAGTTCATAGAGAGTTCTACTTTAAAAGAGTCTCATTAGCATTGCTCAAGTTAGAAACATCATAATTTATGCTAATTTTATCAAAATAAAAAATAAAAAATTTATGCTAATGGCATCGTAATATATAGCAACATTCTTGGCAAAGTAATGAAAACATATAGCAAGAAAATAACAATATAGAATATGTATATAGTTTATATCGGGTCCTTGTCTACTACATTGTTCTGTAATATAAAGTCTGCAAGTTAGGCTAGTTAGCTCACCAACTTTCATTGTTCATAAATTAACCTGAAATTCCACTTGATCTAATGCATTGGGTCCATATTTTCAATTTCCCAAACAATCAATTTGGCACTAACATCTAGAATTCATATTAATTAAAATTTTATAATTCTCACGTCGAAAAATTATTAACTAGTTTTACTTAAATGTTATGTTTTTTGACATAACATAAAGAGCAAAATCGTGCGTCGACTTTGACATCGAAGAATTGAAATCTCACTATGTATCACGTTTCCAGATTAGACCAAACATGAGATTAGTTAACAACTGGATATAACTGATGTTATACATTTCCAATGTGACCTTACTATATATCATAATATAAGGGCACACTCATAAGATTGATTCGACTTAGATTAGTTTTGCTTAGGTTGGATTTAGGCCCTCATTTTGAATGATCTAAAATAATCCCACATAAAAAAATGCATAATCTCAGCTTACTTAGAATTAAACAAACAAATTATCTCATTGCATATGATTATGTTAATTTGGTGGCCGAACAAATTAATCCCCAACACTAAAGTTGTCATAATGATGGCTATTTTTGTTTGATTTCTTGAAGGAATCAAGGCCGTTT